TAGTGTACCGGACACAGTAAGTTTAGTTAGGTTAGTTGTGGGGGAAAGGGGAGGGAACGTTTGAGGTTTTAGCACCCAATATAGGTTATATTAATTAAGAGCAAATTAGTACATTCTGCCTACCATGCTGACACTTCTATCACTAAGCTAATGGTGACCTCAAACTAACAACCACTTCCCTCACTGAGGGCTCTTAGAACACCAGAATGTTGGAGGCTGGCAAAGAGACACATGATACCTGTTCTCACTTATACGCCCATTGATAGTTCATTTTTCTTTGTCTCTCTTCACTTTTAACTGTATTATAGGCTTTAAAGCTTAGATGAGAGCGTACTTTAATGAATAATATACTAAATAAAGAACAATAGCATTAGCATAACTAAAACTCACACTTAGAGATAATTCATGGGCTTAACTAGTTTGCATGCTTTAACTAGATCATCTGAAAACACAAATTACATTTCTTTCCTAATTCTTTATTAGAGTTTGAAGATGATAGAGAATTATACGAAAGGGAGTGTTTACAATAGATATAATAAAGGAAATCGTTTAGATGATACTACTTATTGTATTTTAATAATGGGAATGATTACAAAGATTGAAACAATGTACTAAATGGCTGAAATAATTATTTTCTTTAAGTAGTCAAGAGGGATTTTTAAGAGGTAAATAATTTCCCATCCTTGTCCAAAGTATATTAAACCTGGGTTGACCAGTGCCTTTAACATATTAATCAATAAACTCTCATCTGAAGGAATGTTATGTGGATTTATACAACTCTAAAGAAGGCTCTATAAATATCACATGATTTACTGCTGTTTTTAAGTGACAAGTTTCTGGTAATGACTAAGATAGAAAGTGCTTCAGGCAAATTAGTGCGACATACAGAAAATTCAGTACTGGTTGCAAGAAGTTCATTAATAAGGCAGGAAATATAAATAAGTAGAATAATTTAGAATGGTAATAAGATGGTAATGCTAATAATGCTAATAACAATCCTAATAAGGATTCTTACTGTAAACGTGAAGATGTGGATATGTATGTGTAAATCTATAAAACTATGTTTAACAAATTCAAAATGTGTCTCCACTAGTTAACCAGAAAACAGTGTAGCAAAAGTCACCTATAACTGTAGCCTGTGTTTCTTGTTTCGGCAGACATATCACATGGAGACATTCTGAGGAAATCTGAGTTATGTCTATAGCATTTATGAGTTCTCCAATGGGGACATCCCCAACAAAGAAAGGCAGAACTATCATAGGTAAATAAAATCAAGGACAGGTGGAATCCACAGACAAACTGTAAATTTAATTACTGATAAATTCCCTTTGCATTTAATAACTCTTGTCCTGTCTGTGTGGCCTCTTATTGGGATACAATGAATTACGAGATACAATAGCCTCTTTTTATCTGACATCTATAAGCAGAATTGTCATTCCCCTCTCATGAGGAATTCAGATGTGCTGCACTCAAAAGACACTCAGATTCTAATTCCAAACATAAACTAGACTCATGCATTTCATCTCAAATCGGGAATTCCTGTATTGATAATTCTATAGAAAGAATACAAGATAACAGGATAGACATACCAAAAAGATGACTAAGCCCTATAAACATTAAACAAAAATAGAATTTTCCAAAGGGAGGTTAAAACAAAAAAAGGAGAAAGAAATTGCTGTGGATCTGAGAACTCTATTGTAGTCAAGTGAATTTTTTACTCCAATTATTTACTTCTCCCTGTGCCCATGCTCCTCACCATATAACACTGAAATTTCTCTCAGAAAGAGTCACATGTATTTCCCCACCCTTTTGGATACAGCCTAAAACTTGCTTTTGGCCGGGCACAGTGCCTGACATCTGTAATCCCAGCACTTTTGGAGGCTGAGACAGGTGGATCTCCTGAGGTCAGGAGTTTGAGACCAGCCTGACCAACATGGTGAAATCCTGTCTCTACTAAAAATACAGAAATTAGCTTGGCGTGGTGGTACATCCCTGTAATCCCAGCTACTCCAGAGGCTGAGGCAGCGGAATCGCTAGAACCTGGTAGGTGGAGGTTGCAGTGAGCTGATATTGCACCACTTCACTTCAGCCTGGATGACAGAGTGAGACTGTCTCAAAACAAATTAATCTAAAAAATAAAACTTGCTTGGACTAATGAGATGCAGGCAGAAGCGTTTGCCAGCTGTATACCAACATCTTATGTAGCACTGTAGTTTCTGCTTGCCCCAGTGTTCTGCAGCCGTGACCATCAGAAGAGCAGGAGAGACACATAGATTGGAAATGACTCCAAGCACCGGCAGAAGCTAAACCTGGCCAGACCTGGAACTAGAAGCAAAGCTACCCAGCTGAGTCCAACCTATATGAAACTTCCGAGTTAATCCACATGCATGCGATAAACAAATGCTTATGTTTGAAACCCATTAAGAGCTTGAGGTTATTTCTTACACAACATTCTTGTTACAATGGCTACCTGATACATTTATAAATTAAAGTGGGCAAAAGAAATATTCTTCCCTTCTAGTAATCTGTAAAGAATATTTCCTTCCTCCTGAGATTTAGCTTTCATTTATTTACAATGAAAGTCAGCAAATTCATGCCTGATTGAAAGAGTGTTACCTCCAATGAGTTCATTCTAGGTTGGCCACTGACTTACTTTTTTCCTCATTATCATGCTGACAATCATATTGACGTTCAAATGCTTACCCTTTCTCTAATGTGTTGGGGATATCAACCCCTGTATGACCTCATCTGTAAACTTGTGGGGTTAAGTGATCACTGGTTCTTCAGGTCCCAGACTTCCAAGGAGAGATGTATGGAAGACCACAGCATGGTGGGCAGAGGAGGAAAGCTAAACAATAGGAGTGCTAACCTATCAATCAGCATAACTCTGCTTCCATCTGTGTTAGCTATGAATTCTTCATGTGGAAAATCAGTTTTACTATTTAAATATCAAAAACTACTAGACCAGATATTTTCTAAAGTCTTCTAATACTCAAAGCCCTATGATTACGTTTTTATTTTGACCACTCCCTTCTCTTTATTTCTATTCCCATGACCCTAATTTAAGACACTATCACCTAAACTCCTGTATCACTTCCTAACCTGACACTCTGCTTTAAGCTGTAAATTGTGTCATTTTATTCCCCTATTTAAAATGAGAGAAAACCCAGCTTTAACGGGGCCCCCAGGCTCTCCCTATCGCTCCAGTCTCATTTCGTGCCCCACTTTCCCACCTTTCATCCTGGCTTAGAACACACCGCACTCTTCATCACCTTGGGGTTTTCTCCCATGCTGTTCCCTCTGCTGGAAATGCTTGTCCTCTATTCTTTTTGCCTTCAGTGTCATGTTATAAGTCGGACTCTCAGAGACTTTCTTCGATCACCTAAACTACAGAAGGCCCCACCTGACCCCTATCATTCTCTATGACAGCACATTCTTCTTTCTTTCTTTGCACTTATGACTTACAGTTATGGAAACATTTGTTGGTTGTTACATTATTCAACTTCCTATTAAGTATCAGCTCCAGGTGGACTGGGCTGAAGTTGTCTGGTTTATTTTTGTATTTTTAGGACCCAAAGCAGTACCTGGCACATAGTATATATGCAATAATATAGATGAGTGCATGAACTAATGAACTTCTTAGCTTTTGTCAACATTTTTTTCTACCACTTTTCTATATCATATAACATTTCCCTAGAACATGTGATCTCAGTCTTTCATTTGCTTATACCTGCTCTCTTAGTTACCTTCCTTAAACCATGCATAATGTTGCTTGTGTTCTTGAACATTAGAATTTTCTCTTCAACTTTCTTATTCATCATACTTCCCTCTTCTTACTCTTTTCATGTGCGAGTGGTCACTATCTGGTAGGTTGTGGGAGATTATTATAAAGCTGATCCCAAATCTTAGAATTAGATTCTATTTAGGATAAAATTAACAAGAATAGTCCTTCAATAAATGAGACCAGATACCTATAGAAGTAAATACTCTATGCACCTGACTGAGGTGACTGAGGAGTTTGGCAAATACCTAAATTTCAAGTAAGATGACCAGGAAATGATTTTAGGAAAAAACAATAACAAAAAGTATATCCTAACTAATTTAATTGACCTCCGTCAGAAGAAAAGAAAAAAAAAAAAATAAGTGCTTGGTTTGTATATAGCCTAGAAAATATGGACACAATGAACAAATAATGTGGAACTCCATTGCTGGAATGTGGATTTTTCTAGCAATGCCTGGAATAGAGAAACAAAATATCTGATAAAGGTAATATTACGATTATCAGAGAAATGAAGGCTGTGGGAGGGAAATGTATTGGTCACAGGCTCTCACTATTGTTTAAATGCACCACCTAAGAGGATGCTTTGAGAGTCGGCATGAGGCTACTGGCTGCTGAAATGAGAGCTCCCTCTGCAAGTGAAGAAGCTGGCATTTGGGCTTAGGCAGCGGTCTCTGATGAGTTGGTTTAGTATGAGTCAACTTACAAAAATTCAATCTATTCTGGGCGTACTGAAAACATTTAGTTTCTTGATCTGTAAAGCCAAGATCCATACCTTAAACCACAGTTATGAAAGAAAAAGGCCGAGCCTGGGCAGTCAGTACCTTCCTTGGACTCCAATTATATCTTGCCTGGCTTTCTTTCCAATTCTCATATGAGCCACACTCTATTTCTTGTTATTGGCCATACCTATTACTATCAACCTGTTGATAATTACATGATGTACTTTCGTGAGCATGTGATTACACAAAATGAAATTAAGAAATGCAAGCATTTTTTTGTCATTGTGGCAATCTGACACTCCTTAGAACTAAGACACAATGTCGTAGTCTCATCATACATTTCTGTGAGTGCAGTCCTAGGATTCCCCTTTTACCCAAAGTTATAAATTTGTATAATGTCTTGGAAAGTTGTTTGGGAGCTCATAAGCTACCTGTAGTAAACAGCATATGGGACAATTAATAAAGAAAGGTGTTAGAGAAAATACCAAAACTTTTCAGACCTGGGACGGAAATCTTCCCCACAGTTGGATGCTCCATCTCCATAATAAGGCTGTTGTGTAATACCTGAAAAGGCAAAAACAGAGAGAAAAATAACTTACAAAATAAAACCATCTTCAATTACAAGGCATGGACAGTCATCTATTCAGTCAACATCAAAGAAAGGTATGGCAAAACACAGAGATGTTTAAAATTTTAATTTGAAAGTAAATACTTGACATAAAAATAATGTTTCATCTTATAATACACCAAATGAAGCCAAAAAAGACTAGAGGATTCATGGACTAGAAAACATTTCAATAAGACCTTCCCACTCTTAAAATTTTTATTTGCCCCTAAATATAGCAGATGATTTCCTCTCTTTCATCTATGGATGCTCCCCTAATATTAAAGCTCAGCCCTTTCCTGCATAACCTTATGGCAGGACTCGGCCAAGGTCAAGAAATAGGACCTCGAACAGAGCAGCACACTGGGGTGGTACACATGCTCCTGGAAAACTGTGCAGCAGAAGGTATGGGGAGTCAGTCCATTTGAAGAATAAATCAGAGTATCCAGAAGGCTTGGTGACTGCTGGAAGTGGAAAGATTCAGGGCTGCTGTGACAAGCAAATGAGCAGCAGACAGCAAATCCAGAGGAGACCCAGGTCAGAGGCGTGCACAGGGAAGCTGAACCAGGAATGTTTTCAATGGTGGTCAAGACCTTAAGCAAAAGACTAGAGTTCAGAAACAGGATTCCAGGATACTGGAGTAAAAAAGCCAGAGACTTCATCCCAGAGGGCTGATTAGGTTCTCATGCAATGGTGAGGCAGGAAATTTAAAAAATAATAATAAAATAAAATAAATTTTTCCATATTAAATTAATTTATTTCAAAGACAACGATAAGTATATTTTTATAAATTTTTATTCTCTGTAATAACTTCAAATATTCTATTTTACCTAAAAAATACAATAAAATCATAAAAAACTAAACAAACCTAAAACTACAACTATCTAAACACCATAATAAAAATTATAAAATAAACCAATACAAAACCTAAATAATAAACATCTAAATTACTTAACAACAATCGTATACAATCCTAAATTATAAACCTATTTTAATTTAATTAACTATCTTTATCCTGCTTCTATATCCCTACTTTCACACACTATAAACTTACTTCAAACTAACCCACCCCCTTTTATAAAATATATGTAAAAATCAAATGCTATCTTTATTCTAAACCCAATCTTTAAACACTAAATCTACTAAATCTAAACACATTCAATAATAAAAAATACCCTCCTTTATATATTAGGTGCTCTAATCCTCCTAATAGCACAACAATGGGACCGAGATAGGTATCTAGTGTCCCATCAAGAACATAAGGTAGCCTTGGCTTGGGATTAAGATCTAAGGCCAGTTACTAGTGCAGGGACATTCTACCAGTGCCTGACAAGAGAAATATACTTGATGCTGAATCACTTGACTGTTGAAATGAAGCAACTTAAATCCCTGGCAAATGAAGGCTGGAATGTTTCCCGGGGGTAGGCAAAAAGACAAAATCTGCAGTGCCCTCCAACTATAAGTGGTGGATGAGCTGAGGGCATGGAACCAAATTCTGGAACATAAGTGTTGAATTATTAGAGGCAAAATGTTCTGTGATACACAAATAGAAATGCTACTTTTTTTTTCTTCTTTTTAAAACAACAACAACAAACAAAAAACAATTGGAGGCTACCTGGTTATACCGTCTCAAAGAATCCAACATCTATTACTGGAACCTCAGTAAGACATTTATGGATATCTTACCTATAAATTGTGTTTCACCTGCACTATCTACCAAGCAGAGAACCTCTCTCTTCCTGTCCTGTACGTGCATCTAAAGGACAGAAGTATTTCAGTGGCACAGTAATCTTACAGACCACAATTTCATGCCAGCATCCCAAAGAGTGGCTGTTATAATGGTTCTACAGCATTTTGAGCTTCCGGTAAAAGTAAGATTTGCCTATCTACCTTCTTACCATAATCTGTTGGCAGAGTAAACGAGCGTGGAATAAAGAAACTAATAACATGTTTTCTCACTTTGCTAAACTCACAGAAAGAGCTTACATTTCTTGGGTTTTATTTATTTCTAGTGAGTTTTTGGTCACATCATAAAATAAATCATCAATAAGACAACTTCATGGGTGACTTTTTAAGTGTAGAAATACAGTTTTGCTATGGCTAAATATTCTGGCTGCGCCTGGTTCCTTTGGAAATGGTTACCACTTTTTGGGTGATGCTCTTTAAACAACGATGTCAACCTCCCTCATTGAGGATGATAACACATCACACAGAGATTCTTTCTTTTGGGATCACCAGGTTTGTACTCAAGAGCTGGCCAGATAAAATTCTCGCCAGTGTTAGAATTGTGCTATAATTTAATTCTGGTGTGGCTCGTTCTCAGCACCCGCCCAGCACAGCTTCCTCCTATGTGGGGGTGGGGGCTAAATGCCAACGGGAGGTGCTAAATCTCAGTTCTACTGAGGACAGGAACAAAAATACCGAGCTAAATTTCACTCAAAACAATTATCTGCACACTGAATCATTCTTCTCTCCTCGTATCTCTGTTGCCCTCCTGACTACCTCTTTGTAATAACACTGCAGTGCTACTCACGAAAGACAAAAGTGAGTGTTCTTAGCTAAATATAACTTAACTGATAGTGTTGAAATTAATTAACGCTGAATTTTAATCATGTAGCAAACGTTAAGTGTCAAACGTGAAAGGGTAGTTGGTAAAGGTCAAGGGACATATGTCAAAGTTTTGTGAAGCAAAAGCTAGCAGTTGATTGAAATTTTCCACGGAAGCAGTTTAAAGAGTGTACTTTCTCCACCCCTACGCCGATTGCTGTCTATATAGGATATTTTCAGTATGAAACTTTAACCTTATCAATGCCTTTGCATTGAAAACCATTCCGTTTTAAGCAAAAATTTAAATTCTTCTTACGTTCGGCAGAGGAAGCTAACTGCAGTTTCTTATTTGCTGTAGCATGCATGCAATTATGAGGCAAACAGGCTGGTGTGAGCCCCATGTTCAGAAGGAACGGATGTATTCCCCTGCTTGGTTGCCACCCACCTTTTTATATAAAGTGTGAAGTCCATACGATTCCATAGGCTTTCTTCGCGAATCAGGTCAGAATATCCCACAGAACAATGCGGTCTGTGGCAGTGCTGTCCCTGGAAACCCTGCCTAATGACTTGGAATCTTGGAAAACTCTCCAGCCTTGTTTGTGGGGCGAATCCTGCTCTGCTTAGTAACATATTAGAGGATTTCAGAACCCAGGAAGTCTGTCTGAATTCTAACATAAATCTCTCCTGCTTCATTACCCTTTCACGTTTTACCCTTCAACTCCCTTTCATGTTTGACACTTAACTTTGCTACATGATTAAATTTGTCTCCTCTAAACTTTACTGGAAATGAAGGAACTACCTGTTACCACTATTTGCGTAACATTTTTTGGAGAATGGTTACTAAACGTTTCCTTGTTCTTTTCTCATCTGGCCCCAACACCCGGACCTCTACCACCTCAACCTAGAAATTCAATTTAAAAACGCTTCGTTTTCTGACCAGTAACAATTAACCGCTACAATTTCCCTTAAGATGTTCAAGGCTTGAAGAGAGTTTCATGCCTTGGTGCTAGGTCAGGCCATTCGGGGCATTCTTTGTTGCACATTGAGTTGTTTCACTATAAGGCAGGGAATTTCTCTAGAATTTTGTAGTGAATTTTGTCCATTTGGCAATATCTTTGGATTTTACTGTTTTCTCCTTCATTTTACTTATTTTATCCTTCCTAGGTCTTTCATGGTTTAGTAGCTCTTCTAAATTCCATTTCTTCTCCTTGAAATTTCAAAAGCCTATTCTTGACAAGAATAGAATTGTAGACAGTGCGCCAACCTCTTTAGCAAAGTATCAGGCCTATTTAAATAAGGTCTCTCTCTCTTTCTCAAGCATTTTACAGATTGACAGCCTAATGACAGAGTCAAATGGTAATGTATTAATGATGGGGGGAAAGAGTAAAATGTATACCTTAAAGTAACGTGGGAAATAAAAGTTTAAGTGAAAGTAAGAAAGTCTTTTTATAAAGTCCTATGGCAGAAATGGCAGAAGAAAAAAATTGGTAATATAGCACGAGCAAGACAAAAAATGCAAAAAATAAACATCGATACCCTTTCTATAGACAGTGAAACTATTTATGGAAAATGAGAGGAATATTCAAACGAAAAGACATGACATTACAAACACAAATGATATTTGTAAACACTACACTGTCCTTACACATATCAAAATCAAAGTAATACCATCAATGGCATTAGCAATAATGCACAAAAGAGAACTGACCTATCTATTCACAGTGAATAATGATATGACCTATTCATTCAATTCAACAAACACCATAGCACTCATATGCTAGGCAAAATGAAGAAGCTGGCAGTAAAAAGATGAATGAACCTGCATTAAAAATGTATGTAATTAGAAGAGAGGGTACAGAATAAGAGAGCTTTTATATAACACAGTCATATAAATTGTTATAACACAGTTTAAGCTCCATAACAAAGGAACAAATCCAATGAGGAGCAAGTAAGTAACTCTGCTTATCTTGAAAGAAGTTGATGATTTGTTAGATTAAGATAATATGACTTAGGTCAGGGAGGTTAGTAAAGACCAGAGAACAAAGATAATATTGAAATTAGATGTTAAGGTTAAAAACAGCAATGATAAACGTAATAACAGCAGATGCTGCTCTACAAAACTCCTTAAGGGTCAGGCATTGTGTTAGGAGCTAAAGCTTTGTTTGTTTAATCCTCTCATTAACCAGACTAGGTAGGAAGTATTATCTTCATCTCTACTGATAAGGTGTTAGAAACTTAGAGGGGCTATTTGTCCAAGATTTCGCGATTATTAAATGGCTGATCTTGGATTATAATTTAGGTGTGTCTAATTTAGCCAGGTTCCTGGCAGTTGGAGGGGAAAAAAAAAAGGAAAAGCATTATTTGATTTACCATTAAAATAACTAGTTGATGTGGTCAATTCTGTAAAACAAAT